TGAAAACCTGGTTCGTGTGCCAAAGCCCCTAAGTGCAGTTAAAGGCATCTGTGGATTGTGGCCCAAAGCCTTTTATGAAGATGAGCCTGTTTTGTAATGCAAAATTCAAGTCAAAATGGCTTTGAAGAAATCTCTTTTTTTTTCACTGACAAATTAACGACTCTATGTTCTTTTAAGGCAAGGGCTCATTTTGTTAAACCAACTTGAAGAAAATTGCAAACTGAAGCAGCCAAAACCAATTTTGAACTGGTTTTATTGAAACAGCTGGTCTGGTGTTGCCTAGTTTTCATGACCCAGTGTCCAAAGCTGTACATAGCAGTTTAATAGTTATTGCCCTTGAAAGGATCACAATCTGGAAAGCAGCCGTATGGAAGACACCACAGATGCAGACTCTCTCCCCATAGCCAGAGTAAATTATTTGCCTCCAGTAGTGGAAAATCTTCCAAATACTCCATATGGTCTCAAATCCTCTCTACAGCCAGGAACACCTCTTATTTTGGCAGGTGCCATGTACTTTTTGGACTGCACTGCACACCGCTGAAGTTCAGAGTGGAAGTTAGGAAAGTTGCACATGAGGATTTTGCTACACGTAGCATTGAAATGTGCTCATTGGCACATGTAGTGGGACGCCAAATTATTATATGTTCAAATTGGATGTTCTATGATATGCACAAGCTATGAAAAGTAGAGTATGCAAATGATAACCTCACAAAAATTAAGTTAATAGAAAGTGGAAGATGAAGGATGACAATTCGTTGTTACCTTTGGACACTAAGATCTGTGTCTACCCTCATGAGCACTGGGAAGTACAAGGAGAAAATATGTACAATATTGTAGATCAACTTCGTGAGTAAGAAAACATATTTTGATGTATGATCAGATACTCATGAGCAGTTAGTCCAATATTAGGGTCAAATTTACCATAAGATTTCGCCTAAGTCTCTCTTAATGAATTGAGAATTCCACAAACTTTAAAAGGCTTACATCCTCCTAAATCAGCAGATAATATAGAAAAAAGATGCCACAAAAGTATGTATAGGGCCAAATGTAAAAAAACAACAGCCACTCTGAGAGAGGTGCATGTGTTTCAGATCAGAAGGTGCTACTCTAATTATCACAAATAATTAGCACTCCTAGTTTGAAAAATGCTTTGTCATATTAATTCACTCTCATTTATCAGGGTTATTTCCATCTACCTGGGCAGTGATCGAGTGGAAGGAACACCAACAACACTTTGGTGCCCAGCATTGCAAATCTGTTTGTACCTTCAAGGTGGCAAAAATATAATACTGAAGTTTCCCTTAATGGGTTCCTAAAATGCATATCCAAGAGCAGCTTTCTCTTCCTTCATAACAGTAGGGTCATCCCAGTTCTTGGTGGTCATCTGACAGTAAGGTACGGTGACCTGCTGATGGCACCTGGTATTTTTGGCCACTGTGTGACAAAGTGTTGAACTGGATGGGCCATTGGCCTGATCCAACATTGGCTTCTCTTATGTTCTTGCTGAAGGCATTTAAGCTATTCAGACATTTGAAGAGAAGAAGAAGAAGGATTGGATTTATACCCCGCCATTCACTCAGAGTCTCAGAGTGACTTACAAACTCCTTTCCCTTCCCCTCCCCTCCCCTCCCTACAACAGACACCCTGTGAGGTAGGTGGGGCTGAGAGAACTATGGCTTGCCCAAGGTCACCCAGCAGCTGCAAGTGGAGGAGTGGGGAATCAAACCCGGTTCTCCCAGATTAGAGTCCACAAACGTAACCACTACACCAAACTGGCTCATGTCATGTCCATCAAATATAGCTCAGAGAAGTATCCTTTATTTTTCTGAGCAACAATAATCTATGCCAGTCTAACTGAGATGGAACCCCATTGTTAGCCTGACTGCTTTATGTACAGCAGAGGCATTATTAATTATTAATTTCGGTGGTGCTGACCAGTGTATACAGGAGGTGAAAACCCTCAAAGGAAATCCGGTTACAAATGGAGACGAGGCTAATGTATGATGAAAGCAATTGGTTTCTTTTATTTCCTAACTCTAGTTCACATACATACGCAAAAACAGATTCTCACACACATGCACACAAGATCCTCAGTAGTACAGAAATAGCAATCAGTTACTTTTACACTAAATGAATGGGGAAGGGAGTAGCAAATACTTATCTGATCAGAGGCTTGATCTTCCCAATGAAGAATAAGTGAAACAAACAGGATAACTATAAGTACTCTACTGCACACGGTTGGAACCAGCCAAACACGTGTAGACCTCTAGGCTGCAGTCCACGAGGTCAGAGAGGAAACAAAGGATTACAATAGCAGCAAGACTGTAAATTACTAGTTAAGGGGAGAAGATGGCTAGTGGGGTTCAAACTGTTGAACCTCACTTTATATAGGGGGGCTCTTGGGGGCTGGCATTGATGCCATCCTCTTTGCCCTTCCCACCTGTGGTCCGTCCCAAGAACTAACACTATTGGTTATTAAATAATGACGTGCCTACCTAAGAGGAGTGGGCAATGTTGAAATCTAAACCTTTAAATCAGGGGATGCATCTGGTCAAGGTGTGAAGATGGTACCAAGGCAACCATTGATGTGTAGAGCGATGTGGCCTGGTCCCAAGCCATAAAACGACCATTCAACAGGAAACTGTCCTTTTTGATGCAAACCAGATATCAGGGTTACGTGTTTACCAAAAGTTCATCAATGGTGGTTACATCCATGAAAGTTGTTGTTTTGTACTGCTAGCAATGGCGATGCAGCTTCTTCCTCAGCTGAGCTGTGTCTGTGTGTCAAACTCCATTTGCACAAACAGCAGGCTAGGAGCTTGTCAGGTCACAGCATTTCAAGGCAAGCAGCTTTCTCCCAACCCATAGGGATTCACAACCACAGTTCAGGTGTGTGCATGTGTGTTAGCAACCACAAACATACATACATATATTTATCAGAAATAGTGCACAGGCCAAAACCATATCCTGTGAGCAGTCTCAAAGATGGCCGCATTGCCCCACTGTATCTGCTCCTAGTCTGCAGGCCCAAATCCCCCTTGAAATGCTGCTCCTGGAAGAAAGGGAAGCCCCAGAAACTGCATGACAGGTCACTGGAAGTGAGCAGTGGGAAGGGGTAGGGCTACCAGATCCACATTGGGAAGCTTCTGGATGGAGCCTGGGGAGAACAGGGACCTCAGTGGGGTACCTTGCCACAGAGTTCACCCGCCAAAGCATCCATTTTCTCCAGGGGAACTGATCTCTGCAGTCTGGAGGTGAGCTGTCATTCTGGGGGATCCTCAGGTTGGCATCCCTAGGAAGGGGGAAATCAATGAAAATCACATACCCCTCTCATTCACTGAAAGCCCTCTGTTGGATCCAAGTCTTCATATTCTCATGGTCTGGATAGTTAATTTTATCTCTACTGTACTCAGTGACGTTACAACTAAGACCACAGCATTTCCCAAAACTAATTACAGAGCCTCAGCTGATGTGCCCACTGAAGAACCGGTGCTTCCTATACTGAGTTACCAACTTTTCTTCAAAGGTACAGCAAGAAAATCCAGGACTGTATTACACCTAGAAAATAGTACTTGAATGACATTGGGAACTATTGAATTTAATTATATTCATCAATAGTTTGATCCAACTTTTTCATGAAAATAAACAAATCATTCTCCCAGCAGATTAAGACAAACACAAATATAGCACCAGCTGATCTCCATATGGCAAAGGCATTTTGTGAAAGAATTCTTATATATCACGTGTTTTTTGGTTAATACTAGCACTTTAACTCACATCCAACTGGTAACGCCAAAGTACAGCATATGTAAAGTCCAAAATTCAAGGCAGAATTCCCAAAACCAGCAGATTGTTTCATTTTTATTGTTTTATTGGGAAGAAGAAGAGGAAATTCCACAATTAAAGAACAGCTGAGGCAATTTTTTAATGTATCTTTACTAAAAAGGCAGGCGGGGGGGTTATTCCTTGGCTGAAACTTTGTGAACCAGATTATATCCGTCATTTGATAGGTTCAGTTTGCTTCAGGAATTCTGCAGAGAGTACAGCGTATCAGCATGTTAAATAAGGCATAGCTGTTCTTGCTGTCTAGTATTGTGTAAAGTTCCAACCTTCAGTCAATGGTCATGAGATACAACTGAGTTATTCCTCAGTTTAAGGTAGATCACACCAGCCACACAGTGCCACCTTTTAGCTGGTGAAATCGTTGTGTGTTTTTTAAAAGTAAGAAGAAAATGAACACAGGAGGAGGATTTGGGAAGGAATGCGACTCTCTGTGAATCTTGTGTTTGTCAGCTGGAGTTTTAAAAGTGGGGCCAAGGTTGAAAGTGAAGTCTAAGACTGTTGACCTATCTGAACAGAGGGCACCATTACGTGGATGTTTATTATACATTTAATCTATTGTCTTTTTTTTTAATCCGTGAGTCTGCGGAAGCTGTACACCGGGAAGAAGGAAAAAATTTGTCAGTACTTTTACACTTTCTCGAGCTGTCATGCCAGTACGGTCAACTGCAGGAAATCTTCATTATTTTCCTAGAAACTCTTTAAATGTAAACATCCTGTTGATAGCAATCACAGATTCTTCTAGTGTTTTTGCAGCAGCTGCCATAGTTGTGTGGTATCTGAATTCTCAACTCATATTGTATGGACGTTTCATTTGGTAATGTGTTCAAGATTTTTTAAGGCAGAAAGTGCACGGGAATATCTAGAGAAACTAGGACTGCAATTAAACTATTTTTTTCTGTTGGCTAATTTTTATTGGGGAAATGGAGTTATGAACTATTGTACGGATGAACAATATATATACATGAATCGTGCAGCATGAATGGAATATGTATCCGCATGACTGGATTTGAGTATTTTAAAAACTTGGTTTAAAGATTTGACTCTCTATAGCTTTGATTCTGTCAATAGATTTAGCAGTGATTGAGTTGAGGAAAGAATCCACGGGTGATGTCTGAACTGATTTTTCTTCTAATTGAATTTCTCTACTTTGATTTTAGCTGACTTTTTACTATGGAGCTACAGACCTGTGGTGCCCAGTGCAATACTATGAAGAGATGAAGGCAGAGTTTCCAGATGGAGACATCCGATTGTGTGAAAAAGGAATCCGACATGCTTTTGTTCTCGAAGCCAGCAAGGAAGTGGCTGCTATGGTTACAGAATGGGTACAGGATGATCTAGCCAGACTATAAATCGTGAAGCAATGGATAAAATCAACGGCTGTGAGATGATACCTGTTTTGTGGACGTGTAATTGTACTTGGGAAGGTTTGCTCCCCTGATTTTGTCTGTGAATCGTGGCTTCTTTCCTGTTGGGGGCGTAGTATGACATTAGTGTGCAATCCTGTTGACAGGGTTCTGTTAAATGCCTTCAGTGCGGATGTAAGTGCCTCTCATGGATTCTATCAAATGCAAAAACTAACTTTTAAAATTATGTGGTAGTAGCCTAGTGTCAGTGGCTGCTATATTTAAAATCAAAAGTTAGAGCTTCCCCCACAAAGAAGAGTAGGTTTTTATACCCCACTTTTCTCTACCTTAAGGAGTCTCAAAGCGACTTATAATCACATTCCCTTCCAGTACTGTCAGTTGTGGGGCAAGTGTCAGTTCCCATTGGTGGATGGTGTTATTGAAAATGAGTTCACGCATGTATGTGGTTGCGGCATCAAGGAATTAGCTTTTTTTATGTGAAACAGCCATGACTGATCAAGTTCCATCTACAGGGCTTCCAAGTTCTCTCAAATGAAGTGCTTAAAAAGGAGGTAATTGTTGCATTTAGCTGCGGATCACTGGGCAAGGGGGTTTTAAGTGATGTACATGTACGTGTGAAACAGCCCCTAATATCAAAATCTCAAAGAGCTGCAGTGTAATACAGGAAAGCATTTCCTTATGAAGTTGATCCCCTACTGAAATAATTTGCTAGGTCAGGGGTGGCCAAACTTGCTTAATGTAAGCGCCACGTAGAATAAACGTCAGGTATTTGAGAGCCGCAAGACATGAACAAATATTACACACCTGTTTTTATTGGAAATATGCAAATTTGTTTTTATTAACATTAAATGAGACTGCCAAAATAAAAACAAAAGGGGTAAAAGATATTAATAATGATATTTATTTGTCCAATGATATTTGTAGGCTTGGGGGTGGGGTGCTTTGAGAATGCATTTAAAGTTAAAGTTGCTTTCTTTCTCTACTCTCCCCCACCACAAACCTACCCAGGGAGGGGAACACTGGCTGGGGGCTCTTTGATATTAAAATCAAAAGCCGCACCATGGTACAAATTAATTAAATTGGACCACACTAGAACACTCCATACCTAGTTAATATCTCTAAACATGCACTTAGAGCATCCTTTACCTCTCTACGGTTTCAATCAATGCCAACAGCAATTTTGGAGGGCCGATTCAATCAAACTCCATTGGCCCATCGCCTATGTATTTGTGGTTCCCACGAACTTGAGGATTTACCCCACTACATTCTCTTTTGCCCATTGTAGTCTACTCCAAGGGCTAAATTTTTAGCAGATATTTTATCTGGTCTTAGTGCTTACCCAGTTGAGGGGAAAAAATCATTTTTGTTATCTGACATTGATGCATATGTCAGTTTGGTGTAGTGGTTAAGTGCGCGGACTCTAATCTGGGAGAACCGGGTTTGATTCCCCACTCCTCCACTTGCACCTGCTGATGTGACCTTGGGTCAGTCACAAGCTCTGGCACAGCTGTCCTTGAAAAAGAGCAGTTTCTGTCAGAGTTCTCTCAGCCCCACCCACCTCACAGGGTGTCTGCTGTGGGGAGGGGAAGGGAAAGGAGTTTGTAAGCCGCTCTGAGACACCTTTGGGTAGTGAAGGGCGGGGTATAAATCCAATCTCTTCTTCTTCTTCTTCTTATAAAGTTTCATTATTTGCCCTTCTTGCAAAGAATATACGTTCCAAGGTGGCATCGGGAAGGGGCATTATTTAGGCTACTGTATTAAATTAGTCATATTTTGTTAACTGATCTTCGGTATTTTTGTATATTCTGACTTTTAACTTATAGATAGTTCACAATTTGTGTTTTGTAATTTTGTAACGGCCAGTGGCTAATTACAATAAACTAAACTGTAAACACTGGCTGGGGGAGGGAACACTGATCAGGGAGGAATGCCTCCCCTTTCCTTCCCCAGCCACCTTGCCAGGAGCCACACGATATGTGTGAAAGACTTACATGTGGCTCCCGAGCCGCAGTTTGGCCACCCCTGTGCTAGGTGATGGCTGTCAGCAGGCAGCACTGAGCCCTACATGCCTGTGTTTCTTCCATTTAAAAAAGAAATCTGTTCTCAGAGACCAGTGTAAGATTACAATTTCTACAAATACTTTCTTGATATGCTTTTATATAAAATAAGAGAGAGAGAGAGAGAGAATATCCTTCAGTAAGTACCCATGCCAAATTATACTGGAAACAGTGCAGACGTAATATAATCCATAAATGAAAAGGTTCTCTTTCTCGTCTCTTTCATATCGAAGAAGAGCCTTTAAAAGTATTCTTCTTATTTTTAATCTTTTAAAAGATTTTTAATGAGTTGGAAAATGGAGGGGAATGGTAGGTATCCAGCCATCCATGGACTTTGGAGAACAAAATTTTCCTGCTCTCCCCTCCTGCTGCAGCGTACTGCCCCCCCCTTTTGTTCATGAAGGGAGTCCGGTCTACCGTAGAAGGCCAAATGGGGGTCTGCACAAATAGTTACCCCTCTCTACTGCTTTCCAACAGAGGAACCACATGGCTGATGGCTAGAGACAGGCCATGATAAAGCTCTCTTATCTGTCCTCAGGGCTTTTTTTGTAGACAAAGCCCAGCAGGAACTCATTAGCATAATAGGCCATACCCAACAGCAGGAACTCATTAGCATATTAGGCCACACCCATGACAGCACCGCTCATTAGCATATTAGGCCACACCCCTGTGTTACCAAAAGTGTGGTCATCCAGCCACACCCACCTTTTGCTTCTTATTCTGTTTACCTTGTTTGTGGTCAAAACCCAGGGCTTTTTTTGGAGCAGGAACTCCTTTGCATGTTAGGCCACACACTCCTAATGTAGCCAATCCTAATGAGTTCCTGCTGTTGGTTGTGGCCTATTATGCTAATGAGTTCCTGCTGGGTGTGGCTAACTTGGGAGCCAGCCGGAACTCCGTTCCTGTGCGTTCCTGCCCCAAAATAGCCCTGTCTGTCCGTCCTTATTTCCTCGATACCACTAAAGTCCAGTTCTCACAATCAGCAGATGTGGAGGTAAACCTGTTCTTGAGCCGTGCTATTTCAAACTGCAGGTGATGGCTCACATTATTGAATGTGACCCTATACAAAATTGTCATGCAATGTCATTGGGTCCTGAGATGTTCAAGAGAAAGGTTAGTGTGTAAATATTCTAAATAAATAAATAAGATTCTTGGATATCAAAAACTAACAGCTAATATAGTTTGTGCAGGCCACCTTTTTTATGCAGGTATGTTGGGTGCCCTCCCCTACACTCTGAAATGGGTATGGCCCAGGAACCAATTTACCTCATCTGGTTTGGGTGAGAACTGGGCCTAATATGAACAAGAGGTCCTCCGCTAACCACTTCCAAAACATGTCTTGGTGCTAATGGGGACTAAAAACCATTAATGCCTAAGACTTATTCTGTCGTTCCAAAACATGTATAATGTGGAAAGGTTATCTCCTTGAGCTAGTTTATGGCTCATCTCCACTTACCAAATTTGTCCTTTCCCACTTTCAGCCTGCTGATTTCAACCAACTGACCTTCCACATCCTTGCTCATTTCCCTGAGCAGATTAACCAGCAATTGATAGTTATATCTGCAGCTCTTGATGTTTGTGATTATGTTGCTTAGATATAGGCACTAAAATGTATGTGACTGTTCTTGCATCAATGGCCCAAGCAACCCCAATGTGCAGTATTTTCATGTAGCATTTATATAATAGATACTTATGTAATAATGTAGCACTTTCAGTGTGCATGGTGTTTTTCAACCCTTATCATGTTTGTTTTCATAACCTTTTGTGAGATGTGTTGGAATCTCAGATTTGGAGAGTCATTCCATTTTGATGGAGATGTGTTTGCATCTTTGGCTAGTATGGATAACAACATCTGGCCATTTGTCATGGTAATCATTCAACCACAGGCCCTTCTTTTTAGTTTTGTCCTTAGTACATGAACACATGAAACTGCCTTGACTGGTCCGTCAAGGTCAGTATTGTCTACTGAACACATGAAACTGCCTTGTTCTTGGTCCATCAAAGTCAGTATTGTCTACTCAGACTGGCAGTGGCTCTTCAGGGTCTCAGGTTGAGGTCTTTTCACATCACCTCCTACCTGGTCCTTTTAATTCTCACCTATAAAGCCCTATGTGGCCAGGGGCCTGCATACCTGAGGAACCACCTTTCTCCATATGTTCCCCAGAGAGTACTGAGGTCAGGTTCTCAGAACCTCCTTGTTCTCCCCGGCATGAAAGATGCCAGGCTGGCCACAGCCAGGGCCCGAGCTGTTTCTGTGGCAGCTCCACTTTGGTGGAATGAGCTCCCCGAGGACATCAGGGCCCTACGAGATTTATCAAAATTCTACAGGGCCTGCAAGACGGAGCTCTTCCGCCAAGCTTTCGAAGTGCCATACTAAATGATTTACCATCTGGCTGAATATTGTGCTCTAGTATCTACTCTTGGCCACTGGCTTAACACCTGTAACCACATTAAAGAAACCAAGCCCTACAGAGCCTGACACTAGCTGCTGTTCCCCTATGGTGGATGTGAAGACAGCTCTGCTATCTTGTGAGAGTTGTATTTTAAATGGTTTACTGATATTAAATTGTTAAATTATTGATTTGCTTTATTGTTTATAACACCTATGGCCTTTTTGTTCGCCCTGAGCCTGCCCTAGCGGGGAGGGCAGGATATCTGTCCCTTATATATAAAGCCATAGTGGGGCCCAACGTTCCAATGCACACCAACAGTGTTTGGAGGCTTGAACTGTCAGTCAGAAGATGATGGCTGGGTTGGCTGGCTGCTTTGTGTAGTCCCGCCCACGTGAGCCCCAGCCAGCATGTTCGGCACAGTCTGCTCTGGGCCTCTGACAGGAGAGGACCATCTGCAGACTGAACGCAGGGATGGGGCTTCTACAGCTGGGCCGCTTCAGCCCACTCGTCTCTGATTGGGCCAGCGTTTCAAGGT